CCAGTCCTCTTAAAGCCCAGTGTGCTCTGTAGATATCCGGATCGCCCTCAGAGACGGGCACACGTTCCCAAAGTCATCAAGGCAGGAACTAAATTCCGGAGCTATCCGATTTGCTAAAATACATCTACGCTATGAACGCCGTTTTCTCTGCCAGAAAACAGGGAGCTGCCTGTTATCGCTGCTAAATTCCTTCCAGAACCTCATCAACTTAATTTGAAATTAGAACACGTACTTTTACATTCCACCGCAGCTTGTGGTCCAGACCCACCCTAAGCTGACCCAAGAATGGCTGGAAGAAAGCTGACAAGCTCCTCTCTTAAGATTCTGGCCCCTTGCCCGAGATTGCTCCCTTTGCTTTTGTATACTCACTCTAAAAAAATAAAGCATCATAATACAGAGTTATTTTTAAGGAACTACATTTAAGAAGCTCACCCCATCAATGGATAAAAATAAGTAGCATTCATGGGCCAGATTCTAGACTATATTTGGAGAGCTTAGGTTCTTTCACCTGGAGAGGAACCTCTCCCACTCCCAAAACAAAACTCGCACTATGTGGTATCTCTTCTGCTCCATCACTGTGATTCTGTATCTTTCCAGCTGCAATATGGCCAAGAGAAGGACCGGCTTAACAAAGCCACGCTGCCAAGACAGAAGGTATGTGCACACAGTAGTCCAAGCTTGTTCTTTTCTACTAGGGCTGCTGTAATAAATTCAACCCCATTTGCACCAAGTATAAAAAAAGAGTAGTATCACCCACTGAAACACAGAGGCACAGATATTAATCAATCTATCATCTAACAAGTGCATCCGTTTTATTTTGCTACTGAGCACAACATTTCTGCTTTAACTCCACGCAAGGTCTTCAGCAGCCGCCTCCTTCTAAAGCCTTCAAATTTTCTAGATATTCGGTGACAGCCTCTATCTCTGCAAACTCCAGTAGTCTGTTGATTAACTTATCGAGTTCTTCTTTCCCATTTAGAATTTCCTATGAAAAAAACATAGCAACAGACAAAAGCATTACTGACTGTACGCCAGTATTATTCTGAAACGCTGACTATTCAGGAGAGGAGCTCCTGGAATGCACTCTGCCTGGAGTGTTATCTCAGCGCATCCACTCGCTCATCTTTGCGGCCCCCTGTGTGAACGCAACACGGCGTGGTGCACAGCAGCGGGACTTCTGCTGGGTGCCTGTGAAAAGCACGTTCATTCTGGCAGGAACAAAAAAGGAGCTACCAGTTGGTGCCTTCCTGCCACACTCTCGTGCAACCCATGTGTTTACACGGAAATCCCCTAGCCAGAACAATCAAGGGCTGAAGGACTGAATTCAGAGACTGTTGTTCATGCCAAGAACTAGTTTGCTTTGCAAGCAAACCTTAACTCACTTTTGTTAGGCGGTTTACGGTTCCAGTTTCGCTCAAGAAAAGTCACAAGGTCCCAACACTAACTGAGAAGCTTGACTAAGAAAAGGCATTTTTCTACAGTCATGGAACTTCCTCCCCTTCTCCATCACGGTATTTGTGTAGCTGTTCCCCACTCCATCAAGTAGGTGCCATTCCATATTCAGCAAGCCCTGTGTTCTCTGAAGTTACCCAGGACATCTGAGGGTACAGCTCAAAAAGTGTTGCTGCCTATGCAATAGCACTTAAAGTAAACTGGATACTTAAGCCAAAATATTGAAGAGTCACCCTAAGTTTTGTCCTAAAATTCAAAACATTTTCCATAAATTGACAAAAATCTGCTTGCCCGTAAAAAAACAATAAATAAATAAGATTCAAGCTATATGTAGAGATTCACACAGAAATAAAATACCAGGTAATCTTAAAATGAAAGCATTCAGATTCAGTTTAACTGTGGCATGCAAGGCAAACGTAAAGAAGCATTTTTCTCTTTCTTCCCTGCAGCATCAAAGGGCGGAGGAAAGACATGGCTTAACTAAAACGTATCCTTGTCAGGTTTTTCTTTTGGCTGTACTACACTTCAAGTATCTCAAATTTCACTTTTGCAGTTTGGCCAAGGGACTCCTTGAGTTCACTAATGGGGACTGCACACTGGGTAATTTTTCACTCATATATTAGGAGAAAAATAGACAGAGAAGTAGGACAGTGAGTTATATCCTGTGCCAGTCATCTTCAACACTACGCTACAAAAAGACAGAAAAGAAATTTTAAGCTTTCTAAACCTATATTTGACACTACCCCACACGACATCCTTGTCTTTAAATTGCAGAGACATAGATTTGACGGATGGACCACTTGGTGGATAAGGAATTGGTTGGATGGTCGCACTCAAATAGTTGTGGTCAACAGCTTAATGTCCAAGTGAAGACCAGTGACGAGTGGCGTTCCTCAGGGGTCAGTACTAAGACCAGCACTAAGATGTTAGACATAACATCTTTGTTGGCAACATGGACAGTGGGATTGAGTGCACTCTCAGCAAGTTTGCTGACGACATCAAACTGTGGTGCGGTTGACACGCAGGAGGGAAGGGATGCCATCCAGAGGGAACTTTACAGGCTGGAGAGGTGGGCTCGTACAAACCCCATGAAGCTCAACAAGGCCAAGTGCAAGGTCCTGCACATGAGTCGCAGCAGCC